TAAACGAAGCTCCCCCTCTCTCCGCCGTGCACCCTCTCCCCCCCCGCCGTGCATCCTCTCTGAGTAGTGGTTAAGTGAATTCAGCTTTTTATGCATTTGAACCTATGCAGCCTGAGAAGAAAGCAGCTGCTTTTCCCACGCTCTGCCCCGACGCATGCACAGCTCGGAGAGCGCTTGTCTGGTGCGCTAACCCCCTCTAGCGCCGAGCACCTTGTCACCTCCAGCCCAGAGCCTCCGTGTGCCTGGCTCTCCTTCCCCTCCACAGTAGACAGACATCGGAGCAGCCGGCTCCTCTCACTCCCCCCTGCATCCTCCTCCCCGCACCCTGCTGCTGCTGCCAGCCTAGCCGTCCGCCTGGCTTCGGGGCACGCTTGCCTTTAACCATCCCGACGCCAAGGACCGCTGATGCTCCATCGTACCGCAGCGAGAGAAGAAGAGGGGCTGTAGACCAGCGATGAATGGGAGGCGGCACTGAACGCGTTAATGGGCGCCTTGCGCTTCTCGCCGCCAGCCGGGGCTTAAAGGGCAATCCGTTCTAATGGCAGATGTGCAGAAGCACTTGTCAAGTTGATTATATCTCAGCAAGTTTTTTTTGTTGTTGTTGTTGTTGCTACAGAGGGGCGCTCCATGCTTGGAATATGAGATGTCCTGTCTGCAACCTTGAGGACTGATTCCCCGGAGTGTGCAGAAGAGAGAGAGATGGAATTTCCCTGCCACTGACTTTGCTGGAGGATTTGGGAGGAAGCAGGAGATGTGCTGCTGATGGGTGGAGGGGGATGGGGGCTCTGTCATGTGAAGGGAGTGTCCTGCAAGGAGCTTTCAAACTTTCCACCTGCAGCCCCAGGCACAGCCAGGGAGCAGGACTTGGTGCGCGTCAATTGACTGATGACTGGGTGGTCAGTAGCATTAGCAGCAGCATCAGCACCAGCGCTCACCCACTGATCCTCAGCTCATGCATCATGCACAGCTTGACTATCTTCAGCCAATACCTCACACCGTCTGTGCACTCAGCCAGGCTGGTATATAGCACATAGCAAAAAAAAAGCCTATCCTCAGCACCAAACTGCGCATCAAAGAGCCAGGGTTGCAGACAAGACTAGGGAAGCTCTGGAATACCCTTCGCCTCTGCACGCTGGAGTTCCTTCAGCATCATGCTGCGCTGGAATTAACACTTGGCACACGCTGCAAGCCATCAGTGGCCACGACAGACCTCAGTCAATTCACCCCAAGGCTCCAGGGTCCATGGACTCAAGTCACCTCCTCACTACAGATCAATAGGAAGATGATCAGCACACTGCACATCCAACTCAGGGGCCACAGCGCTGCCTGGTGCGTCTAGCTGAGCCACATCGCTGCCCGGTGCGTTTTGATGAGCCACCCTTGCTCCAAGTGGGGCTTCAGCTTGGCATCTGTTGGGCTGCAACGCATAGACTTGACTTCAGAACCCAAACGGGACCACTATCTGTCAACCCATGGAGCGTCTATAGGGACTATAGAGGCACAAGTGTAACTTTAATGTTAGTTGTTGGTGTGATTGCTTGCCGACAATTCGCCTCTGCCTGCAGTCTTATGCAAGAACAATTCCATGAACCTGGATTTTACCTGAGCGGGTGTTTTTTTTTTATTTTAGGCAACTGTATGCACATGTAATAGAAACATTCTGTTCTTCCTAAGGAGGGAAAGTCAACCCAGTTGAGGAACATAGGAGTATAATGCTGTTTTGCACAAAAGACATTTTGCGAAATTATCTCTTCTGATCGTCGCTTTTATTACCTCTAGTCGTGGTGCTCGCCACGCCCCCGCGGATCCTTCCACTGGGATTGTATTGGTTTGTTGACTGTTCAGAGAGGAAGGTAGGGGAGCTGGAGCGGTGTTTGGTGCTTGAGAAGAGTCATGGAGCCGTGCGATGGGAGAACTCTGTTAGTGAGGGTTTCTTTCTTCCTTCCCCTCCTCTCCAAGTTCTTAGTCGGCTCCAGTCACTTTTCTGACAACCAAGGTAAGGACTGACAAGTGTCGGGCATGGTATTTTGTTGATGCTGATAGACATGCAGATGAAGTGGCCTCTGTATATAGCAAACCTCTGTTTAATTACTTTATTAGCGCTGGGAATACACATGTTGCAGATACTATTTGGTCAATGTGGAGTTTACTATACTTTACACCATTGACAATTTATGTGCCTGTACAAACTCGTGTGTATAACATTTTACCACCACCACCAGCATCACTACCACTATCAATACCACTATCACCACCACTATCACCACCAATACCACTATCACCACCACTATCACCACCACCAATACCACTATAGCCACTATCACCACCACTACCACTATCACCACCACTATCATCACCACTACCACTATCAACACCACCACACTATCAACACCACTATCAGCTCCACCAATACCACTATAACCACCAATACTACTATAACCACCACCACTATCACTACCACTATCACCATCACTACCAATATCACCACCACATTTACCACCACTACCACTATCTCCACCACTACCACTATCAACACCACCACCACCACACTATCACTACCACTATCACCACCACTACCACTATCACCACCACTACCACTATCACCACCACTACCAGTACCGCTATTACCACCACGTTTACCACCACTATCACCACCACTACCACTATCGTCACCACCATAACCATTCTGTTATAGACGTGAAAAGAACTTGGAACTTCAGTTATAAATGTAAATCAGTTGGTTCTCTGAAAGGGGCTGCTGCAACACATAAACTATTTATTCTAAGAAAAGGCCTTATCATTAAAATACTAACAGTCTGTCTCTTGTGTTATTATTTGCTGTTGGCAAGAGTTGAGCGTGTTTTAAGTATATGTGATTCCCTGCAGGTGGTGGAATCCTCAGTCCCAGCTGGAGCTTATTACAATGAATATTATTGACTTTCTAGGTCCAAATGCTATGACTTCTTGGTTAAGATGTACAAAGCTCAGAGATTCAATACAATTTTCTATTTTATTCTTACAGCTTGATGCTGTAGTAGACTGCCTCCGTCTCATAGATTAAAAAAGGAAAAAAAAAAAAAAAGGCAAAGGTTAGTCTTGTAGTATCATGTGGATACAAGGGCATGCAGGATGTATACAGCTTATAAAGAATTGTTCATCAGTCATATAAGTTATAAATTACGCATGTCAACACTTGTCTGTATTTATGTTCGTATACAAGTTTAGTATGGTACAGAAGTGAAAGGATAAATAATTGCCCATATGAATGACAAGTTACAAATTACATTTCCTAGTATACATTTGAAAATAAATCAATGTAGCCGTAGACAACATCTTTAATTTTACATTTTATACATTGCTGTTAGTAAGGTCCATGATATATGTGACAGGTGTTAAATGGCTCAGCCATTGGCTTATTGACCACCCTGCGATATTGCACAGACTGCGCATCCTGTGTAATTGCATGCACTGCTTGACTCTAATGTGACAATAAGTTTGTTCTCCCACATTAACCAGAATTCCTGATATTGGCCTGTTTATAAGAGCATGCTTGAGAGATGCATGACATTCCATGTAATAAATGTTCAGTTCATTACACTAAATATATAACTGAGTATATGAATAAATGTTAATGTATATTCACGAGCTTCAAGTCCATACCATTAGTTGGTGCAATTCATGTTTTTTTGGTTACAGTTTTATTTGACTATTACCGTAACCTGTAACAGTGCTGGATTACAGGGCCCATCATTGCCTAGCAGGGAGGATGATGAGAGCTGTGTGTTGGCCTTGTGCATAAAGGACAGTATACCTGGTAAATTTCACTATAAGATATTTTTTTTTCGGTAGATAAGAATTTTTTATCGACTTGAAAAAAAAAATGGACACCACTTCCCATGTTCATTGTTCTACGCAGAGTGTGAAATGTTGTATCTTACAAATATATACCATTAAGAATGGATTACATGCTCTGTAATTTGAAAACATCACTAGAAAATGATGTATTGATGCACACAACAAGGCAACCAGGGTAAATCAATTTGACAAAACACTATAAGCAGTAAAATTGTACACTTAAACTGTAAAATTACTGAGTGCATTGCTTAAATACATGTTTCTCCAGAGTAATCTCTCAGGAAATATATCTGTCAAGTACAGAAAACCCTAATTTTTTTTGTTTTTAACAAACAACTTAGGATGCCGCGCTAATGTTTTTTTTTTGTGTGCGATGCTTTGTTTAAATTGACAGAAATGCAAATTGCAGTTGTTCTTTGATAGTTTCTGCTTGTTTACGTTTGATCAGATGGCTGCTGTGAGTTTGAGTTTGCAAAACAATAATAATAATAACAATAGAAAGTTGCTGTTGGGCTTATTGGGTAAGTCTTTGCAAAGTTGTATCAATTCCCTTTTGTCCTCTTCGCTAATTCTGTCTGATTTGGGCTGCCTAAAGATAAATATGCTGTGTAAAGTGAAGAAGCCCATTGCGGCAAATCAGATGTAATCCTTACTCAGGACAAGAAAAGTTGGTAGCTTGGTGATTGTTAGTTACAGAACTTAGCACATTTTATGCATGGTATATGTCACACATGTTATTGTGTGTAACAAATCAAATAACTTCCCTTGTTGCCTAGTTTTGTTTTTGTTTATTGCATGTTGATATATATGAGCTGATTATCTACGTTCTGTTAAGAAAATTGGTTTTATTTATAATTTGGTCATATTGTCCAATGTGCTCTGGAGAAAATGGATGCACATCTATGGCCATTATTGCCTTTTTTATGCTAAGTTAAACGGACCATTAAATCAACTATAATTAAAAAATTGTCTGTTCATATTTCTTACAACTTAAGACAGAGACAGGGGTTGATTTACTAAAGGAGAAGTAGAGCATGTTCACTTTGCAAGGAAATTTCCCCTTAGCTTAGTGAATGTAGTGGAAGAGTACCCAATCATAAACAAGGGAAAAAAACCAAAAACAGTATTTCTGTTTGCATGTGATTGGATAATGGAAGTCGGCAGAGCTTCATCTGTTTCACTAAGCTAAGGGAAAATTCCCTTGTAAAGTGAAAATTCACTTTGCTTGGTGGACAGTCTATTTGCCTTTAGTCTTTCAGCCTCACAGATACTGTATGTTAGCAGCAGGCGTTATAGAGAAAAAGGTCCCGGACTCCAGCAATATAATAAGCTAAAAATATATCTGTGACACATTTGCTTTTGTGGATATACAATACAGCCAGAATTCAGTACAAGTCACAGTAGTTTCAGTTGGGTAAATAGACACTAATTAAATTGCTTTAATTATTGCTTGTATATCAAAATAGCAGGGTTGTTCACTAAAGGGTGAAGTGTTTGTATATGGCAGAACAATCTAGAACAACATAGCTGAACTGGAGAGTGAGCTGAATAGGAGAATTTTTCCAAATAAGCTATATTGTAGGATATTGTTCCCTTATACTCCCTTCTCCAAACTTTTCACCCTTTAGTGGATAACCCTGTAGGTTAGATGTTCCTTACTTTGGTGTGATAGGAATCTCACTATTGCACTTTATTAAATGACCTTCATGAGATAATCTATCCACCTAACTATGTCGTAACATTTTGCAATGTTTGAAGACGGTAAACGGGATAAACATTGTAAATATAATATTGAGACTATGGGGGCGATTTACTAACCTAAACACACGCACGCACCAGGTGCGTGTGATTTTTGCACAGCAAAGCGTATTTATCAACCAAAAAGTCTCTATAAGCATGTTTCCACTAATGCCATATATGGAAAAATCATGCACATGATGCATATATAATGCTGCTTCACAGTTTAGACAAAAATGGTTAGCTCATGCATTTACATTCCTGCATTCATCAACGCAAGCAACACAATGTAGAGCTAATTTACACAACATCACCTTGCAATTCAGGGCAAAGGTGTTTAGATTCCACCCATAGATCATGCTGGAAGGGAACACACTACAGAGGTGTATACATGTTCGTGGTGTGTTTATAAGGTTAGTAAATCAACCCCTAATTCTCAAGCGATAGTCATTCATCAAATCCTTTGACTGAAACTATGGTAGATGGTTCTGACTTTAGCTTTATTAGCATCCAAGAACATTATGTGCCTATCATCTATGGTTTTGTTTGCTGATTCTAATGATATAATATAAGACCATATGACTTATGTGGTCACACACCTTTTAATGATAATTGGCTGCCATGCTGATCCAATGGCTTCAGTACTTTCCATGTCAGTGCTTGTTTTTGGGCAGAGACCTTATAACTTGTATTCAAGCCAGGGAGAGCCATTTTCTTTTGGCTCTCCCTGGCTAAAGGAGTAGAGAATTTCCATTGCAGTAGTAAAGCTGTGTTTACTTAAAGTGTATCTAAACCTAAAAACAAAAACGTAACATGTTGCAGCATACCAATCGTTAGATGTGGTGTTGTATTAGTTTTCTTTTCAGGCTTGTTTACTCTATTATTATTATTATACAATATTTTTATGTAATGATTGGACTGAATATAGGTTTTGCGGTAGTAAGATTATACATTTTTCAGGTTTATCATAAATTATCCTGAATAAAAAACAATAGGCTGAAGAGCATTTGTAAGAAGTGTGTTGTGGCTATATAGGGTATAGCTGCAGACAGGGTAAAGGAGCCCATATGTTCTGGGGACCCAGCAATCTTTATGTACAACCTGTGTGCTCACACTACACACAGGAAAAAGGAGCTGTCTCCTTTCCTTTACAGCTGAAGTAAAGGGTCTATAAAAATAAGGAGCTTTTAGCCATAATGCACAACATATAAGCACATTATGGCATGCTAACCTGACAAACTGATCACCTCCAGTGCTGCTCTCCTCCATCCCCAGTGCTTCCATTCCCCCCCCCCCCCCCCCCGGTCTTTCACTGGGTTTTGAAATCCCCCCCCCCCCCCCTCCCGTCTTCTTCTGGGTTTTGAGACTTCAAATGCTTAATTGGCAGGGATCCAATGACATAAC